AACTGAAAGAAGGTAGATTTAGGTTAGATCTAAGGAAGAAATTCTTCCCTGTGAGGGTGGTGAGGCCCTGGCACAGGTTGCCCAGAGAAGCTGTGTCTGCCCCCTCCCTGGAAGGGTTCAAGGCCAGGTTGGACGGGGCTTTGGGCAACCTGGGCTGGGGGAAGGTGTCCCTGCCCGTGGCAGGGGGTTGGAACTGAATGGTAGAACTAGAAGGGCCCTTCCAGTCCAAACCATTCTATGGTTCTATGATTCTATGATTAACCCTCTACCTCTTGAGGATGGAAGAAGAAAAACTGAGTGGAACTCCTTTAATTGCTGTGTCCAATACACAGTTATCCCCCACAATCAGCACATGTTTGTCTCATTGTAGGTTCAAGACTAGACCTCTGTTATTCCAATTGTAAACCCCTTCTATATCCCCTCCCTTACTTTCCATATAGAAATTGAATTTCCTTTTAATTTTCTGCCTGAATTTATTCTTTGCCCCTATATATTTATGGGCCTTGTGGCAACGTTATCCTGCAGCACTGAGTTGTCTCCTCTTCCTTTCTTGCTCAGCTATTGAGAAAACAACCATGCACCCCTCTGTCTTTATTATATAACATGAGATACTTTTATAATCTCTGTGGTGCTCTGTAACTGTATTCCTTAAATCAACTTTGATAAGTCATTTGCCATTGAGCTGTACAGTAGTTTAGGCAGTAAGGGACGTATGGAGATCCGTAGTCCTACCTCCTGCTCAAACCAGTGCCATTTTAGATCACATTGACCTGGGGTGTCAGGCAGCCAAGACCTGAATATCTCCATGGGCAGAGTTCACAAAACCTTTTGACTTGCTCCTCCAGCCTATCAGCCACTCTGACCAACTTGGTATGACTAGCAGACTTTCTGAGAGTGTACAACTGCTGTTCCATCAACTACATTATTAATAAAGATGCTAAGCAGTACTGACCCCAATTTTGGCCTTTGATGGACTCCACTAGTAACTGCCCAACAGCTGGACTTCACACCAGTGATCATCGCACCTTAAGCCTGTGAACCAGCCAGTTTTCCACCTCCCTTATGGCCCACTAATCCAGGCTGTATCTTGCCCATTTGGGTATAAGGAGACTGTAGGAGACTTTGTGAATTCAGGGTATATGCAGGAGAACATATCACATAATTCAGGAGAGCAACATGCTCTCCTTTCCATTCACGTATGCATCCAGTTATTTGCACCTTCAGTCACCTCAGCACAGAAGGCAATCAGTTTGGTCAGGTATGATTTACCTTTGGTATATCCATGCTTGCTCTTCACAGTTCCTTTTTGTCCTTCCTATGACTGGAAATAGCTTCAAGAAATATTTGCTCTATCACCTTCACAGGGACTGAGGTCAGCCCAGCTGACCTGTAGTTCCATGGATTCTCTTCTCACCTTTTTTGAAGGTGGATGTGGTATTTCCTTTTTCCAGGCATGGGGAGCCTTCCCCAGATGCCACGACCTTTCAAAGCAAGCAGTCTGGCAGTAACATCAGCCAGCATCTTCAGCACCCTGGGATGTACCTGGTTGGTCCCATGGACTTTTCTATGTCCAGCGGGTTTACACAGAATCACAGAATTGTCTAGGTTGGAAAAGACCTTAAAGATCATCCAGTCCAACCATCAACCCAACATTAACAGTTCCCAACTCCACCAGATCCCTCAGTGCTAAGTTGACCTGACTCTTCAACCCCTTCAGGGATGGGGACTCCCCCCATGCCCTGGGCAGCCCATTCCAACGCCCAACAGCCCCTTCTGCAAAGAAATCCTTCCTTAGAGCCAGTCTAAACCTTTCCTGGTGCAACTTGAAGCCATTACCTCTTGTCCTATTGCTTATTACTTGGCTCCAGAGACTCATCCCCCCTCTCTGCACCCTCCTTTCAGGGAGCTGTAGAGGGCCAGGAGGTCTCCCCTCAGCCTCCTCTTCTCCAGACTGAACCTCCCCAGTTCCCTCAGCCGCTCCCCAGCAGACCTGTGCTCCAGACCCTGCCCCAGCTCCGTTGCCCTTCTCTGGACACGCTCAAGTCATTCAATGGCCTTTTTGGGGTGAGGGGCCCAAAACTGAACCCACTCATCGAGGGGTGGCCTCAGCAGTGCTGAGCACAGGGGTCAGATCCCTTCCCTGTCCCTGCTGGCCACGCTATTGCTGACACAAGCCAGGATGCCACTGGCCTTCTTGGCCCCCTGGCCTCTTTAAGTGCGCTACTCTGCACTGTATCTTCCTCTGCAGTGGGCAATGCCATGTTCCCAGAGTCTCTGCCTCTAGGCTGAGGCCAAAAGCAGACCTGACCAGTCTGGAGAAGACATCAAGTACCTAATCTCTTTATATATCCCTGCTCCACAGACTGCTTGAGCCACTCTGGATATGTACAAAGCCTCCCTTGGCTGTGTTGTTGGTGGCTGTGTGGTTGGACAGCAATGGGTAATAGCCAAGGGTCCAGAGGAACCTTGGCAGTCTCTCTGCAACTTCCCAAATCTCAGCCCTAGAACAAGCTTGGAGTTTGACAGAGAGAAGCCTCCATCTCCAGTAGATTGTCTTTGGTCCCTACCTCTCACTTCTTCCTCTTGATGTGGACACTGGGTTCAGCCTTGTCCTCCTGGATGCCACGGAGTCTGCTAACCCCCTCCTGCAGATCCCTCACTGGTGACGTGGCACCCCAACCCGTGGGCACCTCCCAGAGGTGCAAGGCTCAAGGGGATGCGCGGGGTGCTCCCTGAGCCTGAGCCCCCGTGGCTGTATCCTCCGTCTGGGTGGTACAACTTGGCAGTGGCAGAAGTGTGCCCTGCAGAGTGTCACCACACTGTCCGTGGCAGTCTCGCACAGCTTGCAGACCCAAGCGGTGTCTCCAGGATGTCTTTGCACTGACAGTTAAGTGCTGCAGTTCACGCTGGACGGCTGCTGAACTCCAGTGTGTGCCCCTTCATGTGTAACACTGCATGTGCTGCTTTCACTTAACCATAACCTAAGTGCCTAACCACCAATAATCATCATAGCAAAAGTACTTTTATGGCCTCACTACCCACAACAAAGATGAAACATACAGCGGGTCTCCTCATGTGTGCATCCATACCCTCTCTTTGACCTTAAGTGCAGGGTTAGTATAAAAGGCTTTCTCCTGTGGGAAATATCCCATATATCCCCATCTGCTATTGATCATAATAAGAAATACTCAAAATACTCCCAAATTTTCCTCTTTTCTTCAGTACAGCTAGATGTAGCATAATAATACACTACATAACCTGCAGAGACCTTTCTTAGCTACTGCCAGCTCTACTGTTTGCCTCTGCTTGCACAGGCATATCTGCACGGTTTGTTCCTAACTAGTTCACATCACTTACATTTATAATTACCACAGCATTTGAGTTCTGCCCAGCTCAGCTGTTCTGGAAGCCATGAGAGCAATGTTAATTCCACTTACCAATGAGTTTTGACATTGAATCAGGAATTCAGATTTACATTTTTGTGGATCATTCATATATAACTATAAAAATCATTGCACAAATGCATTTTATGCAAACCATAATAGCCACTATGTATCTTCTGAACATTATTACATATTTATAAGAGTCAATGATTCTTGATTTTTTTTTTCCCCCCAGTATCTATTTTATGTTAGTCAACGGCCAGGGGAAATATCACTGTTTGATTGTCCCATTTGTGTACTTTTATCTGGGCATCTTCCATTCTAAAAACTTTTCTGATTCACTCTTAAAAAATTGCCCATGACCATGGAAAAAAGGTTCCATGTTTTGAGACACTGTTCCAGTCTGACACATCATTCATTATTTCATGTTCTACCTTTTCATTTTGACTTGTCTAAAATAATTCAGAATATGCAGTTGTGATGTTTGGTTCTAAATATAACCTCAGTTGGGTTAAAAAATGATCCTGCTATCTGTGAAGATAAACGTGTCTGTAGCTGTAAAGCAACCATTTTCAGACTTCAAGGAGATTTAGGTCCAAGTCTTTTTTCTTTTAGGGGTAATAGTTGAGACTCTTATTATAGTTCTCCTCTAATGACTCAACTTTGTGCTATCAGCTAAGTTTGTCTTCCAGCCTTAATATTTTCCCTTAGGCTTTCCAAAAATCACCCCGGAGCCAGAACTGCAAGTGAAGCTCAGTGGTTGCATACCTTTCTCTTGGGGATTTCATCAATCTGCCCAAAGTGCTGCCAGACAGGCATGTGTTCCTGCTGCCTGTGCGAGACCCTCACATGGAGCCCAGTGTGATGGCAGGGCACCAAGTTCCTCCCTGCTGTGGCCAGGTGGCTGCAAGAACTCAGCTTTCACTTTTTATAAAATGGGTTTAAATCCTTATTCACCTGTATAAAATGGTGCAATCTTAACTTGTTTTTAAACAAAAAAATGACATGAATTTCTAGGATTTT